ATGAAAATAATTTATTTACACATTTATGAACAAAAAAGTCGATTGAAGCGCCCCCAGATTCTTATGTCCTTACGTTAGGCTAAAACCAACTGTGTAATCAAGTTACCCCTAAAAACATTTTCATTATCTTCCTCCTTATTCTAATCCCGTAGGGTTTTTGTCCTCCACATAACTCTATCATACGTCATCTCAGTCATCACTCCCTTTTTGACCATGTCACCTTTTACGCAATCCATCCATCTCTTTCTAGGTCTACCTCTACCGATGTACCCTTCCACACTCATAACTCACGTTCTCCTTGTAACATGCAATTCATCCCTCATAACACGCCCATGCGATGCTAACCTTTTACTCCTTACTTTCTCTACTACTGGTACTCTCAAACTTTCTCTAATATACTCATTTCGTATCTTATCATAAAAACATTTTAGCGTTCATTATCAAATGTAGTGCAGGCTCTAAGATTACATTTTACAATTTGCAATGATTTTTATTTTAAATTTAATGAATCACTTGGATTTCTAGAATGATAATCATAAACAACAACGACTAATTGTCTATGAAAATTAAAACAAAACAAAAATAATGGTAAAATACTATATTTATTTTGTTTTTGTGAATTTTGTATTAACATAAAACAAAGTAAGAGAAGTCGTTAGCTCCTTTAATACAAGGGATCAATCTAGCAAAGGCACCAAGGATATATAATTAAAGAAAACTCAGACTTGAAAAATTAAAACAACTTAAAATTAAACGATTTATGTTTTTTAGACATTTATAAGTTTGTGTCAATAGAATTAAACCACTCTAAAACATTTAATTATGTAACGCGCATTGATGCGAACTCCCACCATAACATAATTCGAGTATCCATTGACAAAAGGAACCCGCAATTTTCTTTTCATAAAATCTATACAAAGCCCCAGTCAAGGTGTTACCTAACAAAGAAGTATCGAGCCACTGAGAAATCTCCTTGCAAATACTTCCCACAACTTGGCTTTTTTTGCAACAGCCCTTTATAATGTCCGGCGAAAAGATCAAATGTAGATTAAAAAGTTTTTCTAATTGGTTATTTTTTAGAACAAGTTTTATGAAGAAAAGTCTCTGGCATTTTGATTTAATGTAATAAATGATTAGGCGACGTATCTTATCTTATTAAAGAACATATTACATTTACCATTTACAGAAAATGGCCTAATTTTTTAACATTATCTATGAATATAACCTCAAATAAATGTTACATATTTTTTCATTTTACTATAAATTCCTAAACTTTAAATACCCATAAAATATTAATAATTTAGTACAGACATAACTTCACTCAAACCTTTCCCATAGTGTCGTTATTTCAAATTCTTTACATTGACCCGTACTTCATATTACAAAATTTATATTCGCTTCAAATAAATATCAACCTTACAGCTATCGTTTTAAAATGTAAAATAGTACAAGAATTTCAAGGGAAGTTCAGGGCTCACACCTGTCACATACGGCCGTGGGAATTAGGGACGAAGGGACAGAGCCTCTCATATTGAACAAGGTAAATGTTAAAAAGAGGGTTTGTGCGTAATTGAATATGTACAAATATTTCTTCAAGTATTAAACCTCTTAATAACTAAACGGTTTTTATTTTAAATAAAAGTTACTTTTTGCGTGTAATTTGATTGTTTATAAAAATACAATTGGTGTGAAAATCAAGATCTAATATGGTTAATATAAAATAGGATAGTTTATTTTAGTAAAAAGAGATTGATTGTTAATTCACCTACAACCTGAAAACTAAACGCAGTTTATTTGAGGCTGTTAATGACTAACTACTAAAAGATGGTTTAAAAAATGTGTTTATGTTACTAGGCATTAAATGCTTACAAAAGTTTACACCCCTCAACAAAATACCTTAAAAAGATAAGAATTCAATATCGATTTAAAGTCCAAACCACAAACGCCAATACACCGTACAAAAAAAAACCTCTTATCTATGAAGTATATTTACAAACATTAGTTCATCAATCACATGATATTTTTTGTCTATGGTTCCCGCGACCCGGAAACCCAGCGCCGGATACTGAGATTTTATTTTTTTCAACCCACAAAAAAGGGCTGTTATAGTCAAAAGGCGACTAGTTTTTATAGGCACCTGTCTCCGTGGGAATTCGTGTGGGAAAGCGAAAAAACAACAAATTTCTTTACATGCTTATCTTCGAAACCGCATCATGTTTTTTTAAGGGGATTAATTCATACATTATCGTTAATTCAAAACTAGGATTTTACTATATTTTTTTAGTATACCATTACATAATATTACGGACTAAATCATTGCCTAGCTGTTTTTAGATTTTAATAACAATTTAACAATTTGTAGTTAATAATTCAAAGTGACCGTGATTGAAAAAAGACGTAAATAACGAGGTATTGCAAAGTCATTATGTTTTTACATATAAGCCTCGTCGTGGGACGCGACTTCATTCTAAACTTTAATCGCCAATGGACCCTAAATTTTTATTACGATAGGGTGACAATATCGGAATTGAAACAATTCCTTAAAACATCACGCGAATAGAAATTGAACTAACATTCTTTAGTTTTATTACCTACGTTACTTTGTTATAAATTCAGTTTTAATGATGCTATTGCAATATGTTCTGTCGGTGAACACCAAATTCTAAAAATGTTTTTTTTTTTTAATTGTGTACGTTGAACTGCAACGCATTCAGGGTACGGTTTTACCAAAAATTCTTACAATCTTAAGTTATGTATAATTTTAGTACAGTTAGAAGATATCGTTGCACTTTCTTACAAGTATGGTCACCTTATTGTAATAGATTATATCCTTAATCCGGCAGGAAGGAAGTCCGTGGATACAATGAGAGGCGCATTCTCACGCCCTGCGCGCGCCAACGAAGCTTCTTTTTATTTATTTCTTATGAAAAACGATTCACTTTCGATTTAATTTTCATTTTATAAGTATTTAAAATAGTACTCAAAATAAATACTCATTGTTAGATACAAAACAATATAATTTAAGCTTATAACACAAAAGGGTAGGCAGAGATCCGATTGACGCGGTCTTCGCTCAACTCTCTCTTCTCTTATATACATGTAACTTCTGTAAAGTACTGTAATCATGATATTATCATAATGTAGGTACTTAAACTAACTAAAATATAGCATGAGAAGACAAAGGCAGATCAAGGGGGGGTCATGGGGTTCATGACCCCCCCTGAGCTGGTTGGTCAAAAACTTGACAAAATATATTTACATATTTTGTCAAGCTCTTGACTTGATACTAATTGTACTTGTATCTAATTGTCGTGATTAGATCCACGAATTATTTTTTATCTATACTCTTTATTAATGACGTAAAACATGAAGATAAAAAATATTTTTTACTCAAATTTATGTAAGGCTTCTTCACACGCGCGTATTTTCATTCATCGTTAGTATGTGATGATATAACGGAGAGCTAATTAAAAAAAGTAGTTCTCACTGCCCACCCTACACTGTTTAACACATCAACGACATCTGACAGCGATTATTCACCATTCATTAGCGTCGTCACGCGATCGCATGCAGTATCGTTGCATATGAACGGGCTTGACCGCCATCATGTCTACGTCATCACACAACTAAACGTAATGCAATTATAAACCTTACCACATTGTAATAAGAGATTAAATTGCAAATATTAACCGCAAATAGATTAGTAATGTGGTTCAAAAGTTTATACAAATTTATAAATGCATGAATAAAATAAATTTGTAGACCTTATCGTAATGGACATAAGGTACACTTTAAAACGTTTTGTAATATAGTTATTTTTGGTTATGGGTATTTTATTATAACCACCGTGGGAGAAAGTGAAGACCTAATTAAATATTAACTACGTATTCAAGGTATGAAGGACTAGGGACGCCGTTTAAAGGTCACTGGTACACCTGGATTGTCTATTTTTTTCACGCGGTTGCGGCCATTATTATTTATGGAAAAGAATTAACATTTTACATTTGTAATCGGGTGGTTCTTTTGTTTTAATTATTTTTTAATCTTTTATCAGTTACAATAATAATGTCGCAATATAAAATGTATGATTTCACTCCTTCTTACTTCATAGAGTTTTTTTTAATGAATTATCCATAATATTAAGAGGAATCAACGAATATTCTCGTCGATTAATTTTTTAAGTATTATATTTATTTTGCAATAAGAGCTATTGTATTTAATAGCGTGTAAAAACACGTATACATACAGGTTCACCTCACCCTTGCGCATTCCCACACATCGTGAGAACACGCCGCGTACACCGGGCGCAATAACCTACGTACCTTCAGTCAATTTATACAAAAAATATTCCGCCTACTGTACTTTGGTAACATTTTTGCAAATTAATAATATTCCCGTTATTATGCTGATGAATCAAGGTGTTTGTCGCAATGACGGTTAAAGCATGGGGTTTAAATAATTGTTGTATTTGATGTGCATGGTCGCACATTCCCATACACGGGCAGGATAAGGGAGGACCCGTGTAGCTTCACTCTTATTTGTGTTTTAAATTGATAAAAAATATAATTGTTAAGACACGAAAAAATTAAATTGAAAACGTTATAATTACATAAATAAATATTTTACATACTATTTATAGCTTTAAGTAAAAAAAAAACAATTTCGCAAATAAAAGTAACTAATTTTACAATGGTCATCATTTAAGATTACAAAAAAAGTATAACATTTTAGATAACATTGCAGTATGTAAATGTTTGAAATTATTATCTTCGTTTTTTTCATAAATCGAACCCAAAAACAGCACACCTTTTGCATTTGAACTATAGGCGCCATTCACAACTGGTTGCACACAAGAGGGAGACGGAACGAAAACAAAACATTCCGATACAGTTCCCACCGCTTTGTATCCCTAAGTCAGAAAGAGATAGAAACACTTTGTGGGAGCGCTTTAACAACGGGATCAAACGGGAAGGAGGGCGAATTATAATTTTTATACTACGGGTCGTGTACGGGAATTCTCATAACTCCTTCGGACGTCACCGGGGACGCACGTAGCGTCCCTTGAACCTCACAGGACTTCGAAAGTAAACAAAAATGCCGTGCAGTGAAGATGATGATTCCCAAACCGGGTTCATGTCTGAACCGAGTCAGGGAATGTCGAAGGCTGAACTTCGAAAGGTGAATAGCTTGTGTCTATTGTTTAAAAAGTGTATTTCAGTGAATAAAAAAAATGTATTGTGCAATTTCACGGTGAATTTTGTTTTCACATATTGTGACTTAAAAATATTTAAATGTGTTGTGATTGTGTAATTATGTTTAAAGGATTTATTGTTGTTTTAGACCAATAAGCCCATAATGGAGAAGAAGCGACGAGCTCGCATCAACCACTGCCTCAATGAACTGAAAGAGCTACTCACTGACTCTATGGACAAAGACGTAAGTACTTCAGTGATATTGTAATACCCTATTAAGAGAACCTCTACCTTACCTTAGCTCTCTTTTAGGTCCTCTAACAATGTCTCCATAGCTGAGCTAACAATAGTACAATAGAGTAGGCAATTGTTTTACTCTCAAAAAAATGAATTTTTAAAATAATGAAGTGCGCCTGAATCTAACTGTTTATTTTATTTATTTCCAGCCAGCTCGCCACTCAAAGTTAGAAAAGGCGGATATCCTAGAGCTGACGGTAAAGCACCTGCAGCGGTTGCAGCGACAGCAACTGGCAGCCGCCATCGCTGCGGACCCCGCTGTGCTGCACCGCTTCAAGTCCGGCTTCGGAGACTGCGCGCTTGAGGTGCGCCGCTACTTGTCGCGCCTAGCCAGTGTGCCCACCGGCCTGCGCTACCGCCTCGGCGACCATCTCAACTCCTGCCTCTCCGGCATCGAACGCCTCCATCCTGCGGACTACCCGCCTCTCGTACCCGACCCGCTCAGACTCGAAGACGAAAGACCCAGCGCATTCCATTTCGTCAAATCAACGAAGCCAACCAGTCCACCGTTGAGTCCGTTATCCTGTGACTCCGCGTGCGATTCGTCAACCGAACTAGAAACACCACCGAGACCTGTACAGAAATTCCCCTTCCCTACACCACCGAGTAGATCGGCTTCCGATCAAGACTCGAGCCCAGAACAGAAGCCAACCGTATCCTCCACGACGATATCCCCGGAGAGTCTACAGCAAGAAGGTTCCAGAACTAAAAAGTTTATGGAGCCATTATCGATAGTGATAGACGTAGAAAACTATAAAATCGGTATAGATGCGTCTCCGAAACGCGCAGTAGACTATTCAATCAGACAGAAATTAAAAAGACCGTCCGAAACAATAGGACCGGTACCGAAATTGATTCGGTTGGATCCTGAACGCAAAGTTCCTAGCCCTGAGAGGACACAGATCGATAGGATAGTTGTTTTAGACAGACCTGAAAAAATATCCGCGTTTAGAAGAATACCAGCAGCCCACGAGAGGAAGTTAACGCTGCCTGTTAGTATACCGGCGGTAGTTGAAAGACCTTCTCTTGTGCTAAACCCTTTGCAAAGATCTGTGATAAGCCATACTGCGGAATCCCTAGCACAGTCGAGTACATCCAGGGTTGTCAAACAGGAAACAAAAGAATCTGAACCTAGCAACCGTCCCAAATCACCTGAACAGGGAACGTCGAGTAGTTCTGAAATGTGGCGGCCCTGGTGACAACAGAGAAATCTAGGAATAGCAAATTATATAAGAATTTATGAAGAACTTTACAAAGAACATCATCATTCAATAGAAACTCGTATATTATGTAGATTGAGGTTCGCTTGTTCGTACTTTTCTTGCCGTTAAGAAAATAGTTTTGTCCTAACGATCCATTCTATAAAATATTTTTACGACAATTCTAATACAAATATCAGAAATTACTTCTACTACCTTCAACAGTTAGTATGAATAACTTGGTGCTATATTTTTCGAATTTTGATAATAATGTGCGTCTCCTCCGTCAGTTAAGGATAGGCAACGCATATGTAATTGCGGATGTTTATGAGCAGCGGTCGCATTCCATTTCAGTGGATTCACGTGGACGGTTGCTCGTTTGCTACCTAATATTACAAAAAAAATATATTTTTCATTAATTCAATGTTGGTAACTTGTTCAATAATTGTTTATTACCTTGCACTTTAACCCTAGAAGTGATACTTTAAAGATTTTGGTCTCGTTTACAAATATTGTAGCTTTAAATAGTCATAAGTTTAGATTAATAGTGTTAATTGTTGCTGCAGCAAATATTGAAGCTTTAATTTTTTACCTGTTCGGTATAACGTTTTATTAAAAGATGATTTTTATCTTTACTTGTGTTTCTCCTTATTTATTTACTAGCTGTTTCTCGCGACTTCGCAAGCGTGAATTTAAAAAAAATGTAGCCTATGTCACTCGCAGATAAATTACCTTTCTAACGATGAAAGAATTTTTAAAATCAACTCAGTAGTTTTTGAGTTATTTTAATACATACAAAAATATAAAAATACAAATCTTTCCTCTTTATAATATTAGTATAGATTTCTGTTCCTCATACTTTAAACATTCAGTAAACCTAAGGTTAAAAATAGATTACTTTCAAACCTCCATCGTACCCTTTTTACTAAAATATAAAATCTCTAGTGATTTAAAAAAATACTACACAGGAAAAAGTACTTTTTATTGCTATATTCATAACATTAAGGACAATTAGTTTAAATTAAAATGTATACATTGGAGACAATAAATTATTAAGCTAAATAAATAAACACAGCATAATTTAACGTGAACACATATAAAATAACATACAAAATTATAAATAAAAACAATAAGAACATACCAAAAACCTATAAAATAAATACCAAATTCATTGGTAGAATCTATTCCGCGAGTTTCTAATATGAACGGATAGAAAGGGAAAGTATATTTAGGGGACGGAGATAACTAGCAAAAAGGGAACATCTATTTTTCCGTACTTCCTTCTACCATTAAAGGTAGAAAAATTATTAGTTATTTGTTGCGGTCATTTCGATATTCGAACATTATGTGGCCCGCAAACTTTCACCTTTAGTATAAAAGGAATAATTAAGATTAAAATATGAACAAAATAGAAACAAAAAACAAACATTCCTCGAATTATCACAAAATCAAAATAAACAATCGACAGATTCTTTGCACTTAGAAAACGCTTATAAAAATTATGAAATTCATAAATCATTTCTGTTTGAGAAAGTCTTTCCTCTGCTGCTGCAGTTTTTGCTCCAGTAAAGTTATCTTCTCCTGGTACTTTGCGGTCTCTCGCGTCAACGCCTGGATTGTGGAATCCTTTTTCGCCACTGCCACTTTCACCCTATAATATTTACCTTTTATATATCTATTCAATGCTTACATTAATTAAACAAAATATTAATATTCATACATTATACATATAATAACTACTAGCTTTCGCCCGCGACTCCGTTCGCATAGAATTTAAGAAAAACAAAAGTAACTAGTACTACAACAATGCCACAAGTTTCATCTAGATCCGTTCACCCGTTTAGGCTACAAACTAACAAACATCCATCCATCCGTCTTATCTCCAATTGTAAACCATGCTATTTAGATACGATTCAAATACATACATACATGACAAAAAAAAAACATATACTCGACATATCATAATCTTGATCTGTAAAAAAAATTAGAAAAATACCTACTAAATATCCTACTGAAAATAAGAAGACACTAGTAGACACTAATATTATAAATGTGAAAGTTTAGGTGGATGGATGTTTGTTAGTTTGTAGCCTAAACGGATAAACGGATTTCGATGAAATTTGGTATAGATATGGCGAATAGTCTGGAAGAACACAAATGATACTAACTTTTGTTATTTTTTAATTCCACGCGGACGAAGTCGCGGGCGAAAGCTAGTTGAATAATAAAATAACTAACTTGGCATACAACTGATGCATCTGTTCGTCGTGTTTGTTCCGCGTGTCTTCTGCGTCCCTGGTAAGTGCGTCGAGCCGCGCGCGCCACGCCGCCTCGCAGCTCGCGCGCACCGCCTCCGCTTGCGTGTCCAGTTGGATGTTTTTCTATTAAAAACATCGATGTCGGAAACGATGCAACACTAGCGCCAGCATTGCAATACTAGCGACATTGCGGCAGTAAATGAATGAATGAATGAATGACTGAATGAATGAATGACTGAATGAATGAATGAATGACTGAATGAATGAATGAATGAATAAATGAATGAATGACTGAATGAATGAATGAATTAATTAATTAATGAATGAATGACTGAATGAATGAATAAAGGAATGAATGAATAAATGATTGAATGACTGAATGAATGAATGAATGAATGAATATGTATTTATTGCCACAAAATAGAGAATAATTAGACTTATTCTAAAGGAAACACAATCGTGGCAAAAGGTAGCCAGCTCAGCGTATGCAGGACGGACCAAGCCGCTCCTGCGCTGATTTTCAGCTGGCTCCTTCGCACTCAAGTAACATATAGCTTAATTATTAGGGTAAAGAGTACTACGTAACGCCAAAGCCGCGTGTAGGCGTAGTCAGCGTATTAAAAGGGCCAAGAGAGCGGCGCGCGGCTCACTTCTAGTGACTATCACGCGTTACACACTTTGCCACGAATGGAAACATGCCTCCGGTGACAAGGAAACTCTCCTCTAGCGACAAGGAAACTTTTTAGACGTCGGAATCCCGCTCTGTGACGACAAATATGTCGCTTTAAGATGCTTTACTAAAGTGTAAACCGAAGATATTCAAATAGTAGTCACATTACAAAAATATTCATCATAAGTGGTAATTTTTTATGTCATGTCTAAATTGATTTATGTCTTTGTTAGATATTTTTGATTTTATCATTATTTAGTTGTACATTGAATACCTCTGTAAGTACTTTATTCCTTGCTTCCAACTGGCCGATGGTCACTTCTAATTCAGCGCCTACAATAAAATATAAACATTACAGTGACAAGTAGAGCGCGTGCACACCTGAAACTAAACTATCGCACAACTGTTTTGCGATTGTCAGTTGTCGATTGTTTCGCAGTAAACTGTTTAGTTGTCAGTACTAAAAATCGTGTAGTGTGCGCACCTCCGTAAGCTCATAGGAATCAAAGCGAGACAAAACAGTTGTGCGATAGTTTAGTCAAAGGTGTACGCGCGCTCTAAAATGTGTGCAATAACCCAATGATAGTTTGTAACTGACATCTATCCTCTGTGTGTCGCACACGCGCCTGCGCCTCCTGGTACCGGCGCAGTGTTGCCTGCTCCGTCTGCCCGAGCTCCTTCAACTCCGTCTCGTACTGCTCCTTGTTCCTTCTATATACGGGAATTATTTTACTCTCGCGTACTACTGGTCGCCTAGTACTTTATGGAAAATTAATAATGGTGATGCATAATAAATTTACGGAGATTATTTTACTCACGCGTGCTTCTGATCTCCTAGTACTTTGTGGGAAATTAATAATGGCTGGTTTACATTATTCCAGTAAGCTTGTGGCTGGCATACTACTGGATTGAAACTATCTGGCGCCAGTAAGCCCATATAGTCCATGCCAGGCCTGTGCTACTGTACAACTGTACTGGCTTATTATAATCCATGCATGAATTTGACTAACTTGAAAGTTAATTTATCGCTTAAATACACTAAAGGATTGATTAATTACCGTAAGTGTAGTTTGTTATAATAATTCAAGATGAATAAAATTATTTAATCAAGCGTATCTTCATAATTTTTTTGCAATTACTTGAAATACCAGGAGTACATGACTTAAAACAAACCTTAGAGCTTCTTGCAGCTCTCTCCTTCCCGCTTGCGCCTCGGCCTCCATGCTCTCTATTGCCTTCTCTATCTCCTTGTCCCGCTCTAACTTGTGCTGCGCGGATATCTCCGTCACCTTCTTTTTTAACACAACCTGCTGCTCAGCTTCAAAGTCCTTCTTGTATCGCTCGAACTCTTCTTCCAGTTCAACGCGTTTTTGTGTTAATAGTTCCTGAAAATTATATTTTTCACAAGTAAATAATTTTGTTAACAAATAAAATTGTGATTCTAAATAACTTGATGAAACCTGCTGTTTGAAAATATATTGTCAAACACAAACGTCTACCTCAATTCTCGATTTCTCTTCGGTGATCTCTTCATCCAAATCCTCGCGTTTCTTTTGCAACAAATTCTCTTGTTCTTCTTTCCATTTCTCTGAAATGGTCAACCACTGAATTTACTATTATGGCTATCAAATTAACTTATTTACAAACCTACCATAAAAAATCGTTTAGAGTTGCTTTGGTATACAAAATCATTAATTGATACGAACAAATCTATATGGGCAAAATGCCCATATGCTAATTCCTTCAACCTTATTGCAAATGGCGTAGAGAAATGGAAGAGAAGAATATTTGTTTAATGGATCTCTGTTAACTATAGATATCAGATATGTCTCTTCACCGATGTCTTCCCTCTGTTGTCGTTCCCTGTCCGCGAGGAGCGTGGCGTTGCGCTCCCCTTCCGCGCGCAGCTCCGCCACCAGCCGCGAGCGCTGCTCCTGGTACGTCAGCTCTACCTCCAACATCTGCTTCTCTAGTCTGAAATTTGTACATAGAGGTAGCTGTTTTCTTTAATATTATCATAGAATTCGTCAAATTCATCTGCATAAGAACCAAACTAGCCAATTTAAGTAACACTTGAAGACCTCAATTCGCGTTAAAATATTTTTTAACTATTGATTTTATAGTTCTCGCCTCGTCTGGTGAGTTTTTAAAAGCGTAAAGCGGCAAACTTATACGCAGTTATTTCTACTTCTTACGACAGTTTAGATGGATGGATATTTCTTACTACAATATCTAGAACGGCTCAACGGATCTGGTTGATCTCTGTAAGAACATATAGGACAATAACATTTTTAAATTATGACAGCTAGTTGAAAATAAAGTCCAAGGTAATAAAAACCTGGAGCTGGCCAGCTGTCTCTCCTTCACGAGGGCGTCTTCCTTCTCCTCCTCCAATGTCCTCCGCAGCATCTCCATGTCCGCGGCGTGCTTCGCCTGCATCTTGCCGAGCTGCTCCGCGTGCGCCATCTTCACGTCGGATAACTCCTTCTGCTGGCGTTCTGCCATCTCTCTTAGTTCTCCTTCTAGACCTTTTACCGTTAACTCCTGGAATTCCATATTAGATTTTCTTTACATTCTCAATTATTTTAACAAAAGACTCTCTACTTGCGGTTCTATTTTTTTTGCTGATGGAAGAAAAAGGAGAGGAACTATTGATAGGTACAGTATGATAAAGAAGTTATTGTGAATGAGTGGAACTAAAATGTAATATTTTTGCTACTAATTAATGAATGAAAGAATTCAACATTTTGGATACAACCAACCTTTATTTTCTCAGCTTTCTGTCGAACCCATCGTTGCCTAGCAACCTGGAATGTGTATTAACGAGGTGCAAGTTAGATACAGTGGTAATATTTGCAATGTAATTATATAAAAAGCAATGATGACCATGTGACTAATTCTGTTGCAATTACAGCTAAATAGAGAAAATGCATTGGTCATACAAATTGTATTCGTGCGTATGAAATTTTTGTGCACGGTTCATAATAACGTGGCAGAGCAGACAGTGCGGTACTGCTATTGTTAACATTCACGCTGAGAAAACATATTGCAGTACTGAACTGCTTCACTGCTCTGTATTGGGTGTAATTGACATTAATGTATGGTCTTCTCCGGGTAGGAGGCAGTTCCACCTTGATTATCGGCTGGCAAAGTCCTCACATTAGTGGTAAGGGGTTACCTGCTGCGCGGCAGCCATCTTGTCGTGCTGGTTGCGTAGCTCCAACTTGTAGCGCTCCTCCAACGTCTGCACGGACCTCTTCCAGCGCTCCTCCAGCGACCGCCGCTCATCCACAAGCTGCTCTATCCGGTGGTTTAACGTCTTCTTGTCGTTAATCAGCTGGAATACATTTTTTTCTTTATTACTTTGAACTTTTTATTTAGTCAACAGTCGCCAATTTTGGATCTTTTATTCCAAAGGTACCTGGTCTATAAAATTCTGATGCCGTTTTATAGTTTCATCACACTCTTGTTTCACTTTCATTATATTCCGTTGAGATTGCTTTTCCAGATTGCTCACTTTTGTAATCATCTGCAAAATTAGAAATGTGTCAAAATGTAGACCTGTTAAAAGTAGATAACAAGATGAAATAGAGAAATTGACTAAATTGTGATTGTTTGTCGGGTGCATAATGCAATTTCCATCAACTTTCGTGTAATAGGTGTTTATTTATTGATTCTTTTGTGATGAGTTTCCTTTTTTACCTAATTCATACCTGTTGCTTGTGATTAGCCAGGCTTTCCTGCAGCAATGCGATGCAACAAGATCGCTCCTCAAGTTGCAAAGCCGAGGTCACTACTCGCTGTGCCAACTCCGTGTGTGGCAGCTTCAGAAGTACCTCTAACCTAAAATAATCTCTGCTTTTAAAAGATCTAAACTTTTTTTAGAGGACCTCCTCTGTAAAAAAAGCCCAGACGGTACTACTGAAATTGGTCTCTCTTATTTCTATGGTCCCACCTTCTCACTTGACTTGAATACCAGATTCTATGGATCCTACCTCACTTGATACCCGTTTGGTTATAAAAGTTGATATATTTACTTACTTTGGTGTATTTTGTGGTGCTGAATTCGTAACTACAGATAAAGCATCGTTTGCACTCTGTTCAACTTTTTCTAAGAATTCGAAAATTTCCCTGCAAAATAAAGAGATATAAATCTAGAGGCCAATATGTTTTAATTAAAATTCTATAATGCTTGAACGCGTACATGAAATTATCTTTCGGCGTTGAAGCTCTATTTTCTTCTTTAGGCACCTCTTCTTTATTTTCCTCGACATTTGTAACTGTCGTAACAGGATTATCACCGTAACTTTCAATTTCTTTCAACATAGAATAAATATCTAGTACTGTTGCTTTGGAATCCAATTCTTTTGCTTTGATTTCTTCTCTTGGCGTAATGTTAGTTGTAGGTTTTTCTTCAATTGTTACTGGAACTGGTACTGTTACTTCTTCTGGTGTCGCAGTTCTCGAGTGTTCTTTAGGCACTTCTGCTAAAGTTTCTACATTATCTACGGCATCCATAGTTCTCGGCGTTGGAACTGATAGAGAAATCCATGATTCCACATCTTTGTCATTTTGTACACTCTCTATTCTAGAGCTTAGAGGAATTTTTGTTGTGAAAATGTTTTTTGGTGATTGATGTTTGACTGCTTCTTGCCCGGGTCTAATATTACTTTTATTGTTTTTCCAATCTAACTTAGAACTTTTGTTATCAGATTTCAGGTTGTTTAGTTTCTTCTCAAATTTCTTTAGATTTTTTAACACGTTTTCTTTAGTCCCCTTAGGATAATCGTGTTTTATTTTAAAATAATTATTGATCAGTTCTCTTGTGGTTACTTTTGAAATATCCGTTTGGTTATTTGTTTTGTCTTCGACGGGCGACTCCTTCGTTTCGTAACTATTTTGAGAACTTTCAATGGAATTATGTTTATCTTCATAATGATTATTAGATTGTTCGTACATCGTTTCAATGTGTAGAGGTGTAGGTGATATTGTCTCTGTTTTTATGTCTTTTAGTGTAAGTTCATGTAAATTGTTAATTGCTTCTATTTCTCTTTTATAATCTTCAATTACTTTAGACGTGTAAGCTTTTGTGCTACTATTTAGTAAATATTTTGGGTATTCACTAATCTCTCGCTCAACATTATCATTTAAATTTGTATTTGCATAATTTGCTTCACTCTTTTTATTTATTAAGCCGGGTCTATCTGGTGAATTCTGTGGTGGGACTGCTAAGTGTCCCTCCTTCTTTAAAAAGAAGTCTTTGTACAGCAAACGGCTATGATTTAGAGTCTCCGACCACTTTTTATCAGGCGGATAGGTGTTCTGATAATTTTTTTCATGACTTTCACTAGATGCACTATCTAAACTTTTAGGTTGATTGTGTAAGTTGTTATCAGAATTAGCTTTTCTAAGTATTGTTGCAGGTGGTAGTGAATAGTTTTGTACACAAGTTTTATCATCTTTCATAACACTTTCAGGGTAGCCAGAATCCTTAGATGATGAGTCTGTATTAATAATAGTACTTGAAAAATTATTTCTAAACGGGTTTTCATGGTTATTGAAGTCTTCATAAAAGCTTCTATATGTTTTTGATTCATTAGAGAAGTTCTGTGTATTTCTTGTGTACTCTTCGCCTTTCTCTGTATGCTTCTTAACATTAAGGAGAGTAAAATCTTGTTTTGGATTTCGGTGTTTATCATTAAATGACGTTTCTGGTGATAAACTTGGTAGATTACTGTCAAGATCTTGTGTAGACTCTTCCTCTACTAAAGATAATTGTTGTTTAGTTAAAGGTAATCGTCTTGAGTATGTATCTGTCTTCTCTATGTCTAATGGAACATTAGTATCGAGGGATTGACGTTCATTTAAATTAGTATGGTTAGTTTTTATATCCTCAAGAGGTACGAAATATGATTCGAAGGCTCTTTTCTTGAAAGGTGATGAACTACGGTGAAAAAATGCATCAATATCCCTACATGGGGACTGAGACTTTGCTCTTTCCTTAATAGTGACTTCTAAACCATAATGTTCACTTCCTTTATCATCATCTGTTGGTTGTTCCATTTTACGTCCCTTCTTAGCTATGTTTCTGTATTTCAATGCTTTTGTGTTTGTATTTTTTTTAGGTGTTTGAGCTTTAGTTTTTATCTTAGTACCTAAACTAATAAATGTATCTTCTGAGCCATAGTCTGAGGCGTTACTACAAGTTTCTTTATTGCCTTTAACTTTCAGATTTTCATATGGTTTAGTATCACCAAGTAAGACTGTTGTCGGTGGAACTATTTTTAAATTATTTGAAGCATCTGAAATAAGTAATTTAATTAGTACATCAGTTTAAAAACAATAACATATGTCATCATCAACTTGCCCTTATCCCTTACGGAGGGTCGGCACAGTATGTGCTGCTCTTCCACACATCTCTATCAGCCGTCATATCTGAAACCACTCCTTTTTAAGCATATCCTCTTTCACACAATCCATTCATAGTTTCTTCAGTCTTCCTCTTCCTTTAACATATCTAAAAACAATAACATATATGTATTATAATAATCTTTACTGTTATAAGATTGAAGTAAATCAGCACTGAATGATTTTAAGAAAGATCTAGTAGTCCCTGCCCGCTCTTTAGTGTCTGCAGAAAAAGGCCGCTTGAATCTTTCTGGATTTTCCTGAAAATGATGTTTTACTTTTAGTTTTGGAATGCTATTTAATATTGAAAAGCAAAATAAGGTTTAAGTTTTAAGGTTAAGGGTCCGGCAATCTTAAATAGATAAGCACAGATTTGTTGTTTTATAGATTGAACTGTCATAAAATTTTTCATTAAATGTTCTTTGTAAAGAAATATGCAATCATGGTTTAAACTAGCAGAGTTAGAATATAATTTTCTCTTGACTGTTAAAATTTACTACATTATATATAGTTGCTGTTAAATCATTTGTAATGATTGGAGTTAGGTCTAGATAGTTTTAGTTTGTAAAATAATTTAAATAAGTAGGATTTGTTAACTAAACCACATTTAAATTTGGAAATCCTTCACCTTTTTACTGTTTAATATTTGTGCAACTGTAACTGTATAAACCTAGCAGACCTACTTTAATTAAAATAAATGTTATATTCCATTTGGTTTTGTAAAACATAACATATAAATCTGACTATATTGCTTGAAAATTTTAGATCATTAAGTGTGAACAACAGAACTCAATCTAACTCAATGTTTTAAAAACCGAAGTTATCGTGAACGTCATAATGTATTTCATGTAATTTTTGTTTAAATATGTTACCGGTGTGACACAAGAACTTTGAAGAGCAGAACGGGGTCGATTTCGTATGTTCTTTTTATCGTCCTTTTTCTTACTTCTATATGAAAGATTTACTGGAGAACCTAGAAGACGCAAGTTAGTGTTTTCCTTCGACATTTCAATAAATATTTATAACATAACAATTTGTAGGATTTAGTTCTTTCATACTTTAATGCAAGCAAACAGAATCGACATCCTAAAATCAAATTGTTTGTTTTGTAGCAAGTTACCGTTGCTACGCAACAGCGTTTCGTGCCACAGATTATCAAACATCAGAATTTTATTAACTAATGATTTTTTTATATTATAATTGCCTTTTTAAAAGTGGTATAATGCTAAATAATATTCAAAACAGTTTTATTAATGTTTTTAAAGAATTATGTACATTGTTCCGAGGAACAAAAAGTTAGTTACTAAGATGTTAGCATGCAGTTATATCCTCTGTGGCAGTTACCTTTGCAAGATCTAAACGTCCCAGCGCTATGACGTCATGGATAAAAATACGGTCGATTATTTGATCATCGCCGCAGTTGGCTTTTATGTCATTCAGTACTTGAATGCGGAAAGCAAAGTGTTGTTATACTTGAACTTTTTGCTATACTGTATTTCGGTTCAGTTCAGTGCGTACTCTTTTGGACGAAGGTTTAGCGACTCGCTAAGGGGCGTATTGCGTATTTGCGCGTTTAATCTCCGTATTAGTGAGAAATCATTATTTTAAAATAAATTTGTGTTTGTTTTTGTGGTCAATATAAATACCGCAACATGTTCAGCGGAATTGCAGGTAAGCTAAATTATATTATAATATAGTTACTTCAACTTTATTGGCATGTGTAAAAGTATTTAATATTGTTATTTTTCGCACATTTATCAAAATTTGAATATAAACCACGTTTGCACTTGTGTTATATAAAATAGTGTAAAAATCAATTTTCATGTTATTACACAATTTCATACGGTAAAAATAAAATATGAAACAATCAATATCGTAGAGTAATGCTTTAAAATTATTTAAAAACCCATATTTATTGTAATGCTAGAGTAGTTATTTGTATCTCTAAATATATACAGTACACATTTACTTAGCATGTACCTATATAAAGTAATGTGCATGTAAATGTAGTAAATAGTTAAATAAATGTTATATACTTTAGAGCTGAATTTTCGCACCATTCATCTCAATGATCGAGTGATTCATTTATTTCTTTGCATATTTATAACATAAACTCAGCAATTACGTCATAGGTATATAAGTTACTAGCCATCGCCCGCGATACTGTCTGAACCTTGAGGTTTATAAAACATCGTGACTGGAATAAGTCCAGGGAGAAAATTATAAGAGAACCAGTAGGGTACTTTAATAATTGTTGTTGAAAAGAGATCTAATAAGAAAAATCAATAGTATAGCACTGCAATGCGTTTGTTTATACTCGTAGAAAAAGCTTCAACGCCTGCGCGGTCGTCGATAAAGTACTGAGATTGTGAAGCTCGGTTGAGACGACATAGTCTTATAAGAATCAATATCTTTATTTCTAAGGAGTTTTCTTACAGAGATGTACTTTGACTCTCGAAGATCATTAATATTGAAATGCGTTAAATTAGTCCAGGAGAAATACAAGATTTTTCTTTATATTCATTTGTTTAACATTATTTTAACAAAATCTAGATTTTCTTTACACATTTACAGATTTATTAGGTCTGGCCCTTACAGTTTTGACCTCGAATAATTACAAAGCAAGCAAGATAAGTCTTTGTTTTCTTTTGTTTTATGTTTAACGCAAGCAAATAAATTTTATCGCAATGACTCATAATAAAATAATAATGTAAATAAACAATACTTGTTATTTACTTTGAGTTATACCTTTAATCGTTTTCACAGATTAAATTAATTGAAATATATAAAGACAGATTTTTATTTGACACTGGCCCAATCCGCTGAGGGAGAGCCATAAACAAGAAATAGAATAGAATAGACAGTTTTTTTTTCATTTTCTGTCTTACTATAACTATGTACGTTAATGCTGGCCATCCACTTTCAGCCAATTTATATGATAACTTTAATGATGTAGTAATTTTTTTTTTTCGTTGACACATCATCACCATTACAAATCGTATTAAAATCAATTCTGTATATATTAATTTTATTACGAATTTGTCAGTGTACGAAGTAACAACGCAATATGTAGATGTACTCATTAATTTGGACCAAGTCATTTGATTGTGTCAACTAAAATAACGCAACGGAACGAGTCACGCTCCATTAACGTCTGATATTCTAGCCAAGTACGAATGTGTTAATATGTTAAACTTTGAAGAGAAACGGACTAGGCAAAATGACACTTTATTTCGCCGGGTTCAAAAAAATAAGACAATCACTTATGTACTGTCTCACAAGTAAAATTAAAACGACTTTACGTATATTGGCTCAAAGACGCACTTAAATAAGACGAGCACAGCAACCTTATATTTATTAGACAGAGGATAATGCGCATGGTAGACAGATCCTGTCTCTTAAAATTCAAAGTGATTACATAAATATGTTAAATTAGTACGTGCTTGTTTACTAAAGGCGCTGAGATTTCTGACCGGTATTTGTTGTACAAATATTTAGTGGTGTTTGAATGTAAATCTATTTAAAATAACGAACATTCCGGCACGTTTTAATCGACGTTTCATTACAACATACGTATATACATAGTATGTTGCGACAACAAGAGAAGTCTATGTTCATAATTAATGTGTTCTTTATGCCGGAAGCTACAACAAACAGACCACTATATTGTATTGTTCATCGAAGGGTAGGCATAAATGAAGTTACTTTCATATAATCCGAGTTCATACAAAAAGATTGAAAAGCAAAAAATAATTAAAAAAAAAACGAATAATCCCAATAACTTAAAATAACTTAGACAATCCTGGATAAACTCTTAAAATTATCAAGCAAAATGTTAAAGCAATCTAGTTGAAAGTGGTAACGCACTTGCAACTTGTAATTTTTTTTATATCATTTTATCTATCGTGACAATGCCATCGGTCATATTGCCACACAACTCAAACAATGACGACGTAAAAAAACTATTTTAAAAATTACGTTACTTGGAATTTAAGGTACAAATCACATAATTCTATTCAAAAATACACCAATAAAAATCTTGAGTAGGCAACCATCTCATCATCACCATCAGCCTTTACCTGCCCATTGTTGCCCTACCTTTAAGGTAAATTAATTCTAAAGTCCAAGGTGCTAATTGTAGAAATTATATCTCTTGCTAATATTATAAATGCGAAAGTTTAGATGGATGGTGGATGGATGGATGTTTGTTAGAGTTTGTAGCCTAAACGGCTGAATATATTTTGATAAAATTTGGTACAGATGTAGTTGGTAGTCTGGAAGAACACATAGGCTACAGACATTAGTTTTTTTTTAATTCCTAGCGGACGGTGTCGCGGGCGAAAGCTAGTCTACAATAAGCATCGTATACTTAGTTGCTATTAACATATATGCACTAGTACTCTTGAACCAAGATAGACCACAAGTATCAAACAGAATGCCTTCCTGGTTATAAACATAAATGATTCAGCGATCAGTGACGTAAGGGCTATACTAATTTTGACCTCGACATTTCTTCGTATGTTTGTATTAGATAACTACGTAGTATCATCGCGTCTTGTATTCTACCAGAAGGAATGTTTAATATCTAGCACAAATTAAAAACTTCCTTTGGATGGACGTTGGAGTTTGTAGCCTAAACTGCTGAACGGATTTCAATGAAATTTAGCACAGATGTAGAGACTGGAAGAACACATATATAGCCTATTGCTTTGATAATTCCATGCGGGCGGAGTCGCGGGCGAAAGCTAATGTTATATAATTGAGAAATTTTATGTGGATGGATGGATGTTTGTTAGAGTTTGTAGCCTAAACTGCTGAACGGATTTCAATGAAATTTGGTGTAGGTGTAGAGATTAGTCTAAGGTTTTTTAATGTCGAGCGGTCGGAGTCACTTGCGATGACTATTATCTCAATAAAGTAGACAATAATTTCGATTCAAAGAATAGGCCTTGTTAGCAAGCGTTGCGACTGTACGTGTCTTGTTACAATCTACCATTGTTACTGAACTTCCGGTAATCGCACACACAAAGACAATAACATGCAAAAATTAAATCTGACTTTTTCACTACTGCTTTGTGCGTTTTCATTTTTGTTTGGTGTGCGCTAAGAGTGTATTTATTATGCAAGGACTAGGCCAAATAATAAACTCAAAAGACAAGGACCTAATAGATTATCTTGCACGCACCGGTTATAATTATACCGGAAATGTCATACATTCAATTTGACTCATGACTCATTACAAGGAATGCATAATTTAATATACAATACGCCTCTATACATACCTACGATTCTCTGCAAGGTCGGTCAAAGGGCATTTAAACGAGGCCGTGCGGATCGTCGTCTGTTTCAAAGAAATATATTTTTAAAATTTTAATTGTTGTGAATAAAAGTGGAAACTCGACATCCATGAATATTACCAATTGGCTAAAAATGCAACTGACAAAATAAAAGACAGTGTGAAGGGTACACCAGTAGAGGTACATCTAGAAAGAGATAGATGACGTAATGAAATAGATGACGGAAGAATTAACCTAGAAGAAAAATCTGGTGCGCTGACCTTACGGAAGTAGTAAGAAAAATATTTAGACAATGTGATTATTGAGTTTCTTTACGAAATACACATATCCAATTCCTTATTTAAAATATCAAGAAATATCTGGGCAGTAGGTACTTTCATGTTTATAGATCCAGCGCATTTGCGTCGTAGAAATCTTTATTTTAGGCAACGTGCTATATGCGTTTTATTTGACGCGAGTGAAACCAACAAATTGTTAGTCACATATTGCTGTGGATGTTGATAATTATAGATGTTTATAGACTAAATAATGGGAAATAATTCCTGTGGCAGAATTTGTTGTTGTTTCTCAATTTATGATAGCGTTAAAAAGACAAATGACTGTAAATGTCAAAGATGAAGATGTGCAGGTTGATGGGGTAATTCAACTGCTTTGTAAGATCGTTATTGCTATCTCTGTTTTCTCAAACAGTAAGAGATAGATAGAAATATTGTGTGGTGAACTTTTATTGTAACTATATTACAGTTAGAGCCTGTCCCACCAAATTGTAAATTGTCTGATAACAATCGGATTTTGTTACCTTATCTGACAGTCACGTCATTTTTAAGCCAGTGGTGGGACAGGTTATTAGTAACTTAAACATATGGATACGCTCAAACACCTAAGCCCGAAAATGTGATAACCTCACACAATGTCATTGTGAAGTTTGATATTACTTTGTCTTGTTCGAAGCTAATCCACATTATTGATAAATGATGCGGTTATTATGTAAAAAGTATTAGGTACATCCCTTATTTTTATGATATTGTTAATAGTTTTATCCATGATTTTGTTTATTATCCGTGGTATTGGCTACAGTAAATAAGAGAACGCCGGCCATCGTGGGCGTGTGCCTGACCAGTCGAGGCACACGCGGGTTTGCCGAGTGCGTCTGTACTGACCGAAGCGAGGTCAGCCCGGTAACACTGGCTGAACATAGGGTTATAATATTGTAGACATGGCAGAGCATTTTTTTTTAAATATAAGTTGGCTGGTATTATGGTTAGAAATCTAGAGAACATTACGGATTTTTTTCTGGATTTTTTTGTACCATACCTTAGTAAAGAAAGTAACGAAAAACAAGCCGTGAAGAAGCCTATATTGATAATTTCGATT